TGTAAATTTCATGACTTCTGTCTTTTCTAACAGCTACATAGTACTCCATTGTGTAAATTGCAATAATTAAACTGAAAAATGTGCCTGTTAAAGAGATGAGTTGTTGGGTGGGAGGGAGCCTGGGGGCCTTATCGAGAGGGATGTAGTGGAACTGGAGTTAGAACCTGTATGCCTGAAAATGTATTGTTGACACTTTAGTAAACCCTGATGTCAAAAGGGGAACAGAACCTACTACCACCCTTAAAGACGTCTTTGACAAAAGGGTAATTTCGCTGGAGAGGCCTGGAGGGCAGGGTGGAAGTTGCCTTTGAAAAATGCTTATGTGAAATGTTCCTGTCCCATCTGCCCAGGATTGGAGAAGATCCACAGTGATGGATGGGGAACTGCCATCTGCATTTCCTCGTTTTACTTTGCTACTTGGGTCATGTCCCCAACTGACCTTCCTCTTTCTTTTTCTCCAACCTTTGTCTTATCTCAGATATTTGGGTGTGGGGGGGGAGAGGGTCGGGAGATTGGGTCACACCCTGAGGTGCGTAGAGGTTTTCCCTGGCTCTGTTATCAGGAGTGATCCTGGCAGTGCTTAGGGGACCATGGGGGGGGGGGGGGTTCCAGAAATTCAAACTAGGGATGGCAGCATGCAAGGCAAATGCCTTAATCCGTATAATATCTCTTTGGCCCCTTAACTCAGATTTTAAGGGCATTTGCCTTGCATGCGGCCGACCCGGGTTCAATTCCCAGCATCCCATATGGTCCCCTGAGCACCGTCAGGGACAATTCCTGAGCGCAGAGCCAGGAGTAACCCCTGTGCATTGCTGGGTCACTGTCACTGTCACTGTCTTCCCGTTGTTCATCGATTTGCTCGAGCGGGCCCAGTAACGTCTCCATTGGAGACTTTGTTGTTACTGTGTTTGGCACATCGAATACGTCACGGGAAGCTTGCCAGGCCCTGCCGTGCAGGCGAGATACTCTCGGTAGCTTGCCGGGCTCTCCGAGAGGGGTGGAGGAATCGAACTCGGGTCGGCCATGTTGGCTGCGTGCAAGGCAAACGCCCTACCGCTGTGCTATCGCTCCAGCCCCATTGCTGGGTACGACCCCAAAAGCAAAAAATAAATAAATACATAAATAAATAAAATAAAAATAAATTAGATCACCATACGATAGACAGTTACAAAGTTGTTCATGCTGGAGTTTTGGTCGTATAATGTTTCAACCACTGTCCCTTCACCAGTGGAATTCTCTACCACCAAGCTCCCCAGTTTCCCTCCTTCCACTTCCTGCCGTGCCCATCTCGAAATATCAAATATTTCCCTTTATCTACTTCCAGAACTCAGTTCTTATCCAGCGTGATCATTTCCTACTGTCGTTGTCATAGAGGTCCCTTCGTTCTCCTAACTGCCCTCTCCCCCAACCCGTGGCAGGCTTCCAACCGTGCTTGTGCTGGTCCTTCTGACCCTCATTTCGGCTGTCCTTGGGTAACAGTCTCAGACTATATATATATTTTTTATATCCCACACATGATTAACCTTAATTTTTAAGGTCATGTCTGAAACCACGAGTTGGTTCTTTTGGGCCTCTCCCACGCAAGGAGGTTTATATGCTATTAATAAACGGCTTTAAACATTTTCTCTTATCAACACGTCTGATGTTTGCTTCCAGAATGATTTCCTTTGTCTTGTGACAATACTATTGTATATACACATCTTTAAAAAAAAACCATTCATTGGAGGACATTTATTTCCAAATCTCTAGTAATATTGCAATAAATAGAGGGGTGTGTGTATATCCTTTCTAGCAATAAATTAAGGGGTGTATCGTTTTAAACTAGTGTTTTCCTGTTTTCAGGATAAATCAGCAGGATAGAGGAGAAGGCACTGTAGCACTGTCCTCCCATTGTTCATCGATTTGCTCGAGCGGGCCCAGTAACGTCTCCATTGTGAGACTTCTTGTTACTGTGTTTGGCATATTGAGATACTCTTTCAGTAGCTGCTAGGGTATTTCTGCCCTGGATTAATTGAAGTGTCTCCATGGCCCTGATAAAACTTGGCCTCCAGCAGGGCTGGGGATCCTTTTTCTTTTTTAAATTTTATTTTAATGAATCACCATCAGATGCAGTTACAGACTTATATACTTTCATGATTGCAGTTCACTCAGACGATGTTCAAGTACCCATCCCTCCAACCAGTGCCCATTCTCCACCACCAATGTTCCCAGTATGGGGGATTCCTTTACCCGGTCACATCCTTGTCAATATTTGTCTCTTTTCTTTTTGATAATGGTCATTCTCACTAAGATGAGTTAATATCTCACTGTGGTTTTGATTTGCATTTTCCTAATAATAAACTATGGATATCTTCAAATGCTTGTCAGCCGGTGTTCTGTCTTCTCTGGATCTATACAGATTCTCCGCTCATTAAAAAAAAAATTAGGCTGCTTATTTTGTTGTTGATGATTTATTTTCATTTGGATGACCATTGGCAAAATGTTCTCCCATATGTGACATAAACCATATTTAGCTGCCATACAAATGACACTGAGCCTACCTTGAAGAAAAGCCAGTTCCCTTGCTCCTTCCTTCTTGTTCAATCTTACTTACTTCTCTCTTACCCTTCTACAAGTCTTGAGTGCACCTTCTTCTTGCATCCTTCAAATCTCTGATAAATTTGAGGTTGGGGAGGTTGATTCCTCCCATTTTCTTTTTCCCAACAATTGTTTTAGCTACGCGTGGGTGCTTATTGTTCCATATGAATTTCAGGAGTGTTTGCTCCATTTCTTTGAAGAATGTCATGGGTATCGTTACAGGGATTGCATTGAATTTGTCCAATGCTTTGGGGAATATTGCCATTTTGACAATGTTAATTCTCCTGATCCATGAACAGGGGATATCTTTCCATTTCCTCATGTCCTCTTTTATAAGAAAGAGTGAGCAAAAGGGAATGCCCTGTCACAGGGGGTGGGGGTGGGGGATGGGTTGTGGGGGTGTCAGGGCTACTAGGATCATTGGTGGAGGAAAATGGGCACTGTGGAGGGATGGGTATTGGATCATTGTATAACTGAAACCCAAGCACGAAGGTTTGTAAGTCTACAACTGTACCTCATGGTGTTTCACTAATTAAAAAAAAAAAAACTCTGATAAAATGCCCCCTCGAGCCTTCCACCCAGTGGCATCCCCAATCTTCTTTCCTCTTACATGATTGATTTCCTTCCAACAAAGCAAAGACCACCACTCACCGCTCACCCTTTGTTTACAGTCCTGTGCCCCAGGCGGTGCCAACTCCCTGCTCACAGGTTCCATCCACTTTCTTCCTCTAACATGCAACCTTTCTAATCACAGACCAACTCCTGAGTATGGACGTCCTGTGGAGGCATCTCCAGTCACCTGCCCCCGCGCCTCACCCCGCTTTTTTATTTCTACGTTGCCAGCTAAATTTCTTTCTCCTCCCTCCCTTCCTCTCTCCCTCACTTCCTCCCTCCTTCCTTTCTTCCCTTGTGCTTCTTTCTTTCTTTCTTTCTCTCTCTCTTTCTTTCTTTCTTTCTCTCCTTTCTTCTCCTTCCTTCCTTCCTTCCTTCCTTCCTTCCTTCCTTCCTTCCTTCCTTCCTTCCTTCCTTCCTTCCTCCCTCCCTCCCTCCCTCACTCCCTCCCTCTCTCCTTCCTTCTCAAAAAAGAACGTTCTAGTTCTTTTCGGGGCCAGAAATCTTAACCCTAGGGCACAATCTGAGCAAACAGAACTTCCTCGGGCGCGCAGGAAACTTTCCCCTTTAGAATCCAAACGTACATTTCAAACACTGGCAAAAGGGAAAAAAACACACAAAGTGGCCACACGGGGAGAGCAGCGTGAGACTTCACAGGAGTCCCCGCGGCGGACAATCCAACCCTCCCCTCCGTCCCCGCCCTGCAGAACCCCCGGCCGGCGGGCTGCGAGACTGCGCGGGGGTCCTGCGGGCGCCCTCCGGGGGGGCGGGGGGCTCGTCCCGGCGTCCCGGGGCTGCGGGCCGGTGGCCAGGGCCGGTCCCGTCTCCTCCGTTTCGGAGGCGGAGTTGGGCCGAGCGGCGTCTGGGAAAGGCGCCCCGCACCGGCCGGCTCTGCCCAGCGCGTCCGCGCCCGGCCGGCCCCGGAGCCCGCCCCAGCCCCGCGCCCGCTCCCGGCCCGCCCCGCGCCCGTGCCATCGCCGATCCCGTGCCCGGATCGCGTCCCTGCTCCGTGCCAGCCCCGCTCCCGTGCCCGGACCCCGTCCCTGCTCCGTGCCAGCCCCGATCCCCTGCTGGACCGAGTCCCCGCGCCCGTGCCAGCCCCGATCCCGTGCCCAGCCCGGCCCGCTCCGTGCCAGCTCCGATCCCCTGGCGGACCGCGTCCCCGCTCGGTGCCAGCCCCGATCCCGTGCCCGGACCGCGTCTCTGCTCCGTGCCAGCCCCGATCCCGTGCCGGGCCAACCCCCTCCCCCCCCGCCCCGCGCCCGGGTCCGGATCGACCCCCCCACCCCCCGCCCACCACCACCACCACCACCGCAGCGGGGCGCGGGCAGCTCTCCCCGGGGCTCGCTCCTCCCCGCGCGGGCGGACTCCGGGGGGCCTCGGACCCCCGCGGCCGCTCCCCGAACTACAGATCCCAGGGTGCCTCTGGGAGCGGCGCGGCCCTGCCCCGCCCGCCTCCCCTGGCCCGGCCCTTGTTGTCGGGGCCGGGGCGCTCCCGCGGAGTTTCTCCCCGAGTCCGGGCACTGCCCCGCCGGCCGGGTGGGCGCGTCGCTGCCGCCTGCTGCCCGCGCCGGGGGGCTCCGTCGGGCGCGCGGCTGTCGTGGCCCGGGGACGGAGCGGCGCGCGCGGGGCGCCCCGAAACCCCGCGCGGGGCATTGTGTGTGCGTGCGTGTGTGTGTGTGTGTGTGTGTGTGTGTGTGTGTGTGAGCGCTGAGCGCGCGCGCCCGCGGCCCGGGCGGGGGTGTGTGTGTGTGTTTGGGGGCGGGGTGGGGTCCGGCTCCCGGGGCGCCGCCGGGACGCTCGCGGGGGGTCCCCCGCGGCGGGGGGCGGGGCGCGGGCCGGGGGTCCCGGGCGCGGCGAGACGGCGGCCCCGAGGGCGCGGCGCGGCACGATGAGCGGCGGCGAGGTGGTCTGCTCCGGGTGGCTCCGCAAGTCCCCGCCGGAGAAGAAGTTGAAGCGTTATGTAAGTAGCGCCCGCGCGCCGCACCCGGGGGGCGCAGGGTCGGGGTCCGGGGTGGGGGGGTGGTCCCTGCAACTTTCTCGCTCCCGATCCCGCGGCCCGTGTCTTTCCCGGCGGGGGCCGGAGTGGGCAGGGCCGCCTGTGCCCTTCAGCTGCGCCCTCGCCTCCTCCCGGGGTTCAGGGGCGCATCTGCCGGACCCCCGTCCCCCCGCTCCACAACGGAGCCCCCCTAACTCCTTTCGGATCCGCGTTCCCTGCCGGCCGGAGCTGAGTGTCCGGGCGCCGGGGGAGGGGGGGTGGGTGGACGCCGGGACACTGCCCAGCCGGAGGAAGGGAGCGGGAGAAAGTTCTCCCGGGCGCCCAGCCGCCTGTTGGCGGAGCCGGCTTCACATTTTCGCGGTTTGGAGTCGGGGGGACCTTGGAGATGGGCCTTGGCCGTGCCTGCAGCGAGCCCGGGGCGCCGGGGGTGGGGGGCAGCCCGCTGGCTGGAGTTCGGGCGCCCTGGACGCGCTGTCCAGCCCCAACGGGGGTGGCGGGGGACGGCTGGGCCCGGGCAAGGGGTTCTCCGAGTCGGTGGGGCTTTCCCAGGCCTCGCCAGCCACTTGAGCGGTGTTTGTGATTTAGTGGGTGCAAAGTGTTGGCGGCATCCAGCACTACAAGGGAAAGTGTTCCGTGGAAGAACTCGTCGGGCTTTGGGCGGCAGTAGGCTCCCTCTTCAGGGGTGCAGAATCCTCTCCCCCCCCCTCCCAAACCATCTCTTTTCTTTTTTCTTTTGGTCTTTTCCCCTTGCAGAGAAAAGCAATGGCATGTTTGCCTTGGCCCATGGAGCCAGTACGTTCCTTTGAAGGGGGATTTTTGTTTTGTTTTCTTTTTCGAAAGCAAAATTGATGCCTCCTTTCAAATATACATTTATTACCAGGGGCCGACACTTCTAATGAAACCTGTTTCTTGTGGAAGGGATATCTACACCCAGTCGACCTGACCCGCTCAAGTTAATCCTATTAGTCACTGTTTGCTTGCACAGTACGGAGTGAAATGCAGTATTTAACCTCACCTGACCAGTCACTGCTGAGTTTCTGATGTGCTTTCTGCCAGAATTCGTTATAGACAAGTAATTCTCATTTCAGGGCTTGATGCCACCAGTCCTTAGAGTTCTGCGGAGACTTTTCAAAAAAAAACCTTCCAGATCCCAGCTTTCCACTTAAGCACTGGCTGCCCGAATAGTCTTTGTGAAGCTAACTTTATTGCACTCCCTGGGCAGACAGAGGCGCTCTGTGTGTGTGTGTGTGTGTGTGTGTGTGTGTGTGTGTGTGTGTGTGTGTGTGTTTGCTTTCCTTCTCCGCAGATGCCTGGCTCCACAGGAAAGGTTGTCTGTGTGAGAGAGGGATGGGGGAGCTTGACTTTGTTTTGAAATGGTGAAATTCAGGCAAAGCAGACCTGAGGGGCTGAGTTCTGCCAACGGGAACTAAAGAATGTGCGTGCTGGTCATCCACCCTTAGATTCGCTTCTAGCTCTCTCTGGGCACGCCCAGAGCTGGGCTAGGCACAGTGCCACTGAAAATACAGCAGGTGGGAAACGCTACCCCTTGGCTTTGCAATTTACAGTAATATGAATCAGCCACAAAGGATCCTCTTCACAAGGATTTGGGACTGATTTGGGGGCGGGGACGTGGGGGGGGGGAGTCTGGAAAAAAATTCTGATGTCATCTGATCAGTACAGCAGTTTTATGGGGCAGGTATTATCGCTGTTTCACAGATGAGAAAGCCATCTACGCAACCAGAATGCGCCAGTGGCAGGATTTGAACTCAGCCCGGGAAGGCTCATGACTCACCTGGCTCATTTCCGGGGGAGCTCAGGTGCTCATCCTCCCTCAGCTCCATCCAGACTGAGCCGGACCCTGTGTGTGTGTAGCTGAGGAGGCTGCAGGGGTGTGTACGTGGTGGGGGAACGGGACTGTGGAGTAGAGGGGCCCCCTTTGCCTTCCAGCAGGGCTCCCCGGCTAGCTGGAGGAGGGAGGAAGGATGCTTCTAGATTAGAGCCAGCTCCAGTGCAGAGTGGATTTATTTGAATTGAGTGTGCATGCTCAGGGGTGGGAGAGGGGAGGGTTGGTGGCGGTTAATATTTTGAGGAATAAGCTCAGTGCAGATGGGAACCAGGGGGGTGCTTCAGGGAAAAAGTGGGCTCGCTACATTGTTTTCAGGAGGGCACAGGCATAGCTGCTGGGAGGAGGTGAGGGGTGGAGTGGGTTCCGCCCCTTGCCTTGGCGGAGTTCTGGCTGTTGATCTGCCATGCCCATGGGGGTGACCCAGAAGGGTGGTCCTCTGGACCGAGGACCCAGGAAGGTGACTGGAGTGTTGGTAGTCAAAATGATGGGCAGAGGAGAGGTGTATTGAGACTACAGCAGACAGCGTGCTTGCCTTGCATGCGGCCAACCTGGTATGATCTTTGGCACCCCCCTCTGGTGCCCAGGAAAGAGCCCGGCAGGAATGGTCCCTGAGCATCAGGGGATGTAGCCCTCAAACAAAACCAAAAAAAAAAAAGGAAGAAGTTTATCTTAGGTGTTAGGTATCTAGTTGGTTAGTGAGACATTTTGCCTTTCTGATGATGGATTTTTTTTGGGGGGGGGGCTTTTGGACTACAATTCGTAATGCCTAGGGGTTACTCCTGGCTCTGCCCTCAGGAATCATTCCTCCGTAGTGCTGGGGGACCATACGGGTTGCCGGGGATCGAACCTAGGTCGCCCACGTGCCAGGCAAACGCCCACCCCGCTGTGCTGTGGCTCCGGCCCCTGACGATGAATCTTTCGCCTTTGATATTTCAGTTCCCTCGGATTTTACTGAAACAGCCTTGACTGAGACAGCTGTCTACGTTTCCTGGGTTTGCTTGCTTCTCATGCAGAGTCTGTATTTGGGGGAAGCATGGATGTAGGGTGCGAGGATGCTGGGTAAAGTTTTCCAAGGAAAGCACTGGTGAAGGTAGTCCTGTAATTGTTCCAGAGCCCAGGGGGTCTGAGTACTGGTTCTGGAGGGAGATCGCTAAACCATTTGAGGAGACTCCAACAGTTGCCTGATGAGGATATTCCTAGGAGACTTCAAATGTGGGGGAAGGTGGTCTTGAAATGTGTGTGTGTTGGGGGGGGGGTGGATTCTTTAGCGTGAGGCCCAAACTCTTGTCATTCCAACCTCCGTCTTGTGCCTTCACCCTGTTTACAGCCTGGCCTGGGTTTGCTGTTTCAAAGTCAGAACACCCCTCTGCCTGGCTCTGCCCAGCCCTGTGCTCGTCTGCTGGGGAAAGTTTTCTTGGCTCTCTAAGACAAAGTGAAAGTAACCAAAAGGAAGGAGGAAGGAGGGAGCCAAGTCCCTAAATTTTTAATAGCTTTATTTACAGAGGGTAAGACACCCCACCCCATAACTGTCATTTGTTCTCTGTGAGACTTCCAGTTTGCTTAAAACAGAGATGAAACACTTCATGCTTTCTTCTGGGGTCCCCCTCCCCACCACCACCAACACTACCGCTACTTTGTTACTCTTTTTGGTGCCTCTTTGTTTGTTTGTTTGTTTGTTTTCTTCTTTGTTAAAGATGTGAGTGGAATAACACTGAAATCACTGGCTACAGGAAACAGCTCTTGGTCCTAAGCACTCACTGTCGTACTGGGATCCTTTGCATTGAAGTAATGTAGCATTGTAACATGACATATTTCCGGGACCGTCATTAGCCATCGGTGTGTGGAGCTAGAGAGCTAGTCCGGTGGGTGAGGCACACGCCCAATCAGGTGTGATCCCTGAGCACAGAACCAGGAGGAAGGCTTAAGCACTGCTGGGTGTGCACCCCTCCCCCATGGATATGTATATTGGCTGCAGTAAGGTGCTCGGATTTGCACAGCGCTGTGGCAGGACAGCCTGAAATCATGGTGCAGTTTTCATCGGGACTGAGCATCTCGGTCTTGGTTGAAAGAAAATGCCAGCCTGGAAACAAAGGAGCCCTTCAAGCCAGCTGGCTTCTCGGCACCTCTCCGTCGGGGGCCCTTTCCAGGGGTTGCTGCTAGCCTGGACAACCCCCCCCCCCCCCCCACACACACACACACTTCTTCCCTGGGGCGGGGAGGTAGGGGGGACACGTTGTGCTCCTGCCCCTGCCTGACCCAGCTGTCAGCTCTCTGCAGGGAGGAGAGAGGGGCCGGCCCAGCAGGAAAACCTGCTTCTGAGGCCAGATCCAGGGCGGGAGGCAACACCTCAGCCAGTTTCCTGACGCCTCTCTGCACCCTGCCGGTGGCACTTTGCAGAGCGCGGCTCTGGCCGGGGCCCCAGGAGGGAGGACCCCTCTAATGTTGGTGGACCTGATCATCTCCTGGTCCCAGGGCAGCGGGGGATGTGTGCAGAGGAGGGTGTTGGTGTTGGGGTGTCTGTGGGCCCTCCCTGCCCTCTCTGAAGCTGGGGGCTTGCAGGCCACCGGAGGTGCCTCATTCTTCCGTGGGAGGAAATGTTGTCTTCCGTGCTCATCGGCAAACACTTCGTCCACGATCCTCCTGCTTTTCACTTCTTCCATTGTGGCGGGAACATCATTTCTGTTTGCCAGACTCAGTGGCCAGGAGGTCCAGGAAGCTTCCGGAGGACTAAGGACAGTGAATTCTTGGCTTGCACCAGGGCTTAATGATAAGGGAACGAAACTCTCCTGGTGAAACTCGCTGGTCCCCTAAAGCTTAGGGTCTCTGTCTCGAGAGTCAAATATGTCATGGGGAAACTGTGTCCTTTTGGAGGGCAGTTTCGGGATTTGTTCTTGGACCAACACCTTGGCGGTGCTCCGGGTCTTGTTCCCAGCAGTGCTCAGGAGTTACCCTGGGTGGTGTTTGGAGTCACCTGAGTTGGCCGGAGATTTAATCAGGTTGCCTGCCCAGCACCTTACCTTCGGTCCTGTCTCTGCTTTCCCCATGACAGTTTTTTTAGAATATCCCAGCTGGAGAAATAGTACAGTGGGTAGGGCGTTTGCCTTGCACGCGACTGGCC